CCTGTGGTTGTCGTCGATGAGCACGGTCGTCTACGCGTTGGCGGCAAGGGAGACGACATCGATACGTGAGCGTTGGGAAAGGCAGACGACCATCGTCAGTGCGTGGCTCCCAAGATATTGCACAGCCACCGACGCTGTGATCTTCCGCGTGGCGGTGTTTGTGGAGTCGAGTGGTTTGATGACACATCCCCTTCAGTCTGCCAAACACCCTCTCCACTACTCCCCTGGCCGTCTTCTATTTGTTGTCGAAGCGTGCCTCCGTCGGGTGTTGCACGAGACCGCCGTAAGGGACGACTATCCATTCCGACTGCGGATAACCGTTGTCGCCGAGCAAGTAGCCATTAGTCCGCACACCGAAAGGCAGCATCACGCGGCCCAGTGAAAAGTTGTTTTGAGTCCGCACGCACCCACAAACTCGACAGGTTCAGCATCCTCATGTCATGCACACTCCCCGAATAACCGACGAAGACGTCCAGCACACGCAAGTTCATGTCGACCACCACTTGCGCCTGCACGGAGAATCGACGTCTCCTGTCGCAGTAGTCCTCACCGTTGGCGTTCGCGGGTTTGTCGATGTAGATATGTGTGCAGTCGATGCACCCATGGCAGTTTGGAAACCCCTTGTCCGGGAAGGCGCGCAACACGACCACCTTCTTCAAACCTGTGGGCCATGATATCTTGTTGGGGTAAGCAGTCAACAACGCCGCCGTGACGTCACGCACCGCCGTGATGCCGGAAAGCCCTCCCGATGCCGAAGCTACACGTCCCGCTGTCGTACGTCTCCCCCGTGGCCCACCTGTACAGTGCATAGGCAATGATGTGGTCTGGCTGCAAAGGCACCCTGTAGAACGTCACACGACGTTGAAGGAGTGGGGAAAGAGTCTCCGCGATCTCGCGGACACCACGAGGCAACATTCGAAGCTTCTCCTTGAAGTAATCATCCATTGCGTCATCACATTGCCGCAGATCCTCCCTCGTGCCGCCCGTTAGCCGCTTCACCCACCACTGTGGAGCCGCCCGTGGAAACCCCCCGCACCCCATCGCGTAGCAGACCTCCAGCACCGCGTCGGAAATGGCAGCCACATCCAAGCACTGCCCAGTCGTCGGAAGCGCCAACAGCTTGCGCCGTGCACGAAAAGCCGCTTTGAAGTTCGCGTCATTGCTCGCCATCTGGCAGCGGAAGAGGACGGCATTAACCACCGCAGCAACAATCGTCCTCTCCGCCGTCGTCAAACCGCCGCGCCCTGCCCCGCCGTCAACGTCCATCCCACAAGTGCAACATGGACAGCTTGCCGCAACAATTCGTCGCCGTCTGCATCCTCCACAACATACTCRTCGACGCCGGCGTCCTGTTTGACGACAATCTGCTGTCGGAGGTGGGTCCAGACGGCGTGCGTCGTAGAGTGGATCTGGGGATGCATCAGCCATTGAGGCCAGTGTGCATGGAGTCTTCGACGGGGGATGCGCTGATATTGAGGGA